AGAGGCATTCATTTTACATCCTTTTATTGGTCATTTTCATCAAGCAATTTAAATACTATTTTCAGTTTCTAAACTACATACTTTTCTAGAAAAGGTTGATCAATGTTTTCCTACATATTAAATTTAATCTGGAACTACGCTGTTGTGGTTGTTAGTGACAGTCAAGTTGGCCCCTGATTCACGGCAACCCCATGCTCAACAAGATCGGACCATTTCGATCCAGGGAATTTCACTGGCTGATTTTTCAAAAGTAGATTGCCAAGTCTTTCTTGCTAGTCTGTCTTAGTCTGGAAGCTCTGCTGAAACCTGTTCAGTATCATATAAACACGTAGTATTAATGTCCATTTTATACCATGTTTTCACCAGTTTCCACAGTGAATTCAGTGTTATCCTGGACCAGAGCTTCTATACCTGAATGTGTATACAAATCACCTGGGTTAAAGTAGATTCTAATTCAGTGGGTCTGAGATGGGGTCTGAAATTCTGCATTTCTCAAAAGCTTCTCGGTGATGTCAACACTGCCGGTCCACAGACAACACTTTAAGGAGCAAAATCTTAGACCTTTTTTTTCTTTTTCTCTCCATTCCCATTCTACCTTCGTTTTGATAATTAACCCAAATCAATTCGAAATACAGCTAGCCTTGGCAAATAGCTACACAGCTGAGCTAAAAGTATTATGTACAATAACTATCATTTCATTTAAGAAAAATATTTGATTACGTTTGCTTGTAGCATGTGTCGGATATGCTTTCTTTGACTGAAGGGCCAGGTTGGGTTCTCTTTCTGTTCGGGGAAACGATCAGGGAGTTCTCCTGAGAAACCTACTGCAGGTTTGTTAATGTTTTCTCAGGCATGGGTTAACCATCCCTCTGAGGGACCGACCGCCTTATTGGTGCAGCGCATATGTGAAGGGGCGAGAGCGCTCATCTCCTTGGAGAAGAAAAACACCTCGTGATTGGAGACAGAAAGCTAGAAGGACCCAAGGTACTTACACTGCATTCCATGCCCCTCTCTGTTCTAACGTATGCTAAGCTGCAGGACAAGAAAGTGGTTTCTCCTTGGAATAAAGAGCACAGGGCTCGGAGAAAAGAATTGGGGTGCTAAGAATAAGCAGAACCTTCTCTCTAACGAACTGTAAATAGGTAGTTAACTCCTGGAAGCTGGGTAGCTGTATACAAGCCCAAGGGCTATGAACAGTTACATAAAAGGAAGAATTAAAGGTTTCTCTTTATAATAGAAAAGAACAAAGTTATATTAAACAGATAAATTACTCTACCTAGTTTTCATATGTACTTAAATCCAACCTAAAATTGTATTATTTTTAACAACCCCCCCCCCACTTATTGTTTAAAAACGGAAAAATAGTAACTTCACAGTGGGAAAACCTGGCAGACAACACCTTACCCAAATGGCCAAGGTTAACATCACCAGGAACTATACATATTGACATCACGTGCCCCAGATATGCGGAGTCCCTGGGTGGCACAAGTGGTTAAATGCGCAACTATTAGTTGAGAGGCTGGCCGTTCAAACCCACCCACAGGTGCCTGGGAAGACAGGCCTGGCAATCTGCTTCCAAAAGCCCACAGCCTTGAAAATCTTATGGAGCAACTGCACACAGGTCTCCACGAGTCAGAATCAACTTGAAGGCATTGAACAACAATAACAACGAGGCTCTGACCTGATGTACTTAGAAGGGCACTCTGGTGGCTCGGTGCTGGAATGCTCGCATTCCACGCAGGAGACCTGACATGGACTTTCAATTCCTGGCCAAAGCACCTCATGTGCAGCCACCACCCATCTGTCAGTGGTGGTTGGAGTGTTGCTGAACAGGTTTCAGGGAAGCTTCCAGACTACGATGGACTAGGAAGAAAGGCCTGGTGATCTACTTCAGAAAATCTGCCAGTGAAAACCCTATCACGATAGTCCGACCCCCAACCAGTCATGGGGATGGTGTGGATCCAAAAGAGTTTTGTTCCATTGTGCGTGGGATCACTATGAATCAGGGGGCCAACTCAACAGCAGCTGATAACAACAACAGAAGGGCACATCCCCTCCATGTTTTCTTGTAAAAATGCGTACCCTCAGTCTAACCATGAGAAAGCATCAGACAAGTCCTAGCTGAGGAAACAACCAGTTCTCTTCCTAAGTGCCAGTCATGGAAGATAAGGAAAGACTGAAGAACCTTCACAGGTTGGAGGGCACGAAGGAGACAAGGCCACTAAATGCATCGTGGGAGCCTGGATTTCATCCAGAACAGAGGAGGGACATGAGTGGGAAACCTGATGAAATCTGAATAAAATCGTAGCTTAGTTAACATAACTGTGCCAATGTTCGTTTCTTAGGACTGATAATGGTACTTTGGTTATACACAGGAACTCTCTGTACTCCTTTTGCAACTCTTCTGTAAGTCTAAAATTCCCACAAAAATATTCTAAAGCGATAAAAATTATGATGATTTATTTTACTTAGCGCTTTAAGGCCAGTAGCTAAAGTTAAATATATACTAATAAAAGCACGTGAAATCTAACTCTTCCCACCTAACTGTAACTGAAGGCCCATCCTGCTGACTCCCCCTCAAATGTTGGCAGAAGGGCTGAGAGGCTGGTCCTGCGAACCCAACAGCAAAGGGAAGAGGCACAAAAAAGCTACCACCTCATCCAGTAGTTGCAAGCTGTTCATCTGAAGAAACTGATCCTACAGAGATTGCGTCTGTGTGCAAAGCATCCTTCACGCAATTCCTACC